CTTCTACTGCAAAGAAAACTCTCGGCTGTGACCTAAACAAACATCTGCGAGCGTATCCTCAGCATATTTGAGCCTCCGATAACAATAGTACGGCGCGGCCGGAATTAAATTTTGCATAGAGATGGCCTTTGTTAAAAAGCAGCTCGATCCTGTATTGCGGCGGTAAGGGAAGGAGGTTTCGCATTGTTGGGGTTAGAATAGACAGAAGGGGAATGGGATTCTACAGGTCTCTAGTCGATTGTAGGATTGTTTGACGGGTATTTGCATTTGGTAACTATCTCTAATTAGCATAGTCTTTGCCGTATAATGGAATGGCTTTGTGCTAACATATTGATCGTGGGTAAGCTTCAGACTTTTTGACTAGGTTAGACCGACGTCACCAGGCAAACACCAGCAATTAGCTACAGCAATGCTGTATCCGCTCGACTAATGAAAATAAATGTTTATCTTAAAGGTAATGTTTACATCGTGGCTGGATTACCACGCGTTGTTCCATGCGTACACACAAAGGTGGCACAGCACAAGGCTGTTTGGGCTGCACGCTACAGTAGACTTTAGAGCAACTGAACGAAACTTCGATAACATTCAGTAATTCTTGTCGAACGAAGTGGAGCATTCTGTTGTAATAGTGGTAGTAGTAGTTAAAATAAAATTAAATGTTCTAGCTAATCATATTTATAAGAACCAAATCCTGAAGCTGAACCTCTGCTTGTCAAACTACACTGATCAACAGCCAAAAAATATCCTAAATAAAATCAACAAAATATTACTATTTTTAATGTGCTAAAACCGGATTGAAACTTATTTTTTCAATATTAGTTCAAGTTTTAGAGATACGGTAATTATATGTGTTTCTGCTGTGACAATGTTAATATACTGTAATTCACAAGAATGCACGTGCTACATTTTTATGTTCGGCAAGGAAAGATGATGTAATCGGCATGATTGTGTTACGTTATACATACGTGTACATTATATTGTTTTATATTAGCCATTTTTTCCTCAGTTGGCTGACAGCGTTCATGCAAGATGTCTCGAAAGTTTGTAAACAATCCAGATCAGTTTTGTTACGTGTGTGGTGAGGTGACTTTTTTGTCTCAGAGACGGTCTATTACTCCACTAATAACAAAGGCATATCAGCTTTATTTCGGTTGTAAACTAGGTGATCAAGACAAACAGTGGGCACCCCACATCTGCTGTAATACATGTGCTTCAAGTCTGAGGAGCTGGTTAAATGGCAAAAAACGGTCTATGCGCTTTGCTGTCCCAATGGTTTGGAGAGAGGCTACAAATCATATTAATGATTGTTACTTTTGCATGGTACCTTGTGTTGGACATGCCACAGGTATGTCCAAGAAAAAAAAATCGGTTATTAACTACCCAAACATACCATCTACGATGAGACCTGTGCCTCACAGTGACGAAAATCCTATTCCAAAACTCCCAGAATCCTACACTTGCGAATCAGAAAGCGAATCAGATCATGGCGATCGAGTGATTCATCAGGAAGACGATATGCCGTCAACGTCAAGAGATCCTGATTTTATTCCAAGCACGTAATGCCACCAACCGCACAAAATAACAGTCAGAATTAAATGATCTTGTAAGAGATTTAGAACTTCCAAGCTGTAAGGCAGAGTTACTTGGATCAAGACTGCAGCAGTGGAACTTGTTAGAAGACGATGTTTCGGTATGTATTTTTCGTAAACGCCACAAAGACTTAGAACCATTTTTCAATATGAAGAATAACCAACTTGGTTTTCTGCAGTAACATTAACGGCTTACTGGCGGCTTTAAATATAAACTATAACCCAGAAGAATGGAGATTGTTTATAGACAGTTCTACATTGAGTTTAAAGGCAGTGTTATTGCATATTGGAAATATTTTACCATCTCTTCCTGTAGGGTATGCAGTTCACATGAAAGAATCATATGACAATATGAAGTACCTATTGAATGCATAAAATACGATGAGCACCAATGGCATATTTGTGGCGATTTGAAAGTTGTTGCACTTTTACTTGGGCTGCAGCTAGGCTAAACAAAGTTTTGCTGTTTTTTTGTGTGAATGGGACAGTCGGGCAAAGGCACTTCATTACACCAGACAAAACTGGCCTGTTCGTCAATTCCTAGAGCCAGGTCAAAAAAATGTACAGCATATGCCATTAGTAGATTCGAAAAAAATTTTATTGCCACCACTGCATATCAAGTTGGGCCTAATGAAAAACTTTGTCAAGGCATTAGATAGAGATGAGTCAGCTTTTCAATACCTGCGTCAGAAATTTCCAAGACTAAGTGAGGCAAAGGTTAAAGAAGGTATTTTTGTTGGGCCACAGATTCGAAATATTTTGAAAGATACACAGTTTGAAAACACTTTAACAGGTATTGAAAAAACAGCTTGGAATGATTTCCGTCTGGTGGTCACTAATTTCTTGGGAAATAGAAAAGCTGACAACTGTAAAACCCTTGTCAAAAATATGCTGTTATCGTATCAAAAGATGGGCTGTAATATGTCTCTTAAGATACATTTCCTACACTCACACCTGGACTTTTTTCCTGACAATTGCGGAGCCGTAAGTGATGAGCACGGCGAACGTTTTCATCAGGATATTTCAGCAATGGAAAAAAGGTACCAGGGAAAGTGGAATCCTTCCATGCTTGCAGACTACTGTTGGACTCTTGGTAGAGATGTTCCAAAAACGATCCATAAAAGAACAGCAAAAAGACAGCGCATATAGTGATTCTTATAAGTATATCAATCTTGTTACTTTTTTTAATATATCCTTAAAAATAAAAAGTTCTTTTTCTAAACCGCAACTAATTTTTTTATTTCATTGTCATTTTTGGATTCAGCGCCCCAAAATTAACAAAGAAGTCCACTTTTCCCACAAGATACAATTAAAAAACTAAAATTTGTTGTCCAGTGCTATCTAAAGCAAACTATCACATCTCTGTTTCCATGGCAGATGTACGAAAAACATGTGTGACCTATTATGTCTAACAGGTGCATAGTATCACTGAGATCAGAAGCTTCTTAATAATAGAAGGCCTTGCACTGACATCAAATATGCAACAATGTCAAACTATTTATCGCATACAGCTACCAACATACAACTTTCATCCCCTCCAAACAATGTCTGGAAATAAGCAGGAATCTGAAACGTCGTAACACCATGTTCAAGCTATTTTATTTCCGACTCGTGTGCGCAAAGTTTTGAACTCAGACCGTCGACTAAGTATTCGTTTAATTGCGCAGATGTTAAATTTACCAAAATCTGTGGTTCATCACATTGTGACACAGCATTTGAACATGCGCACGGTGTGCGCGAAGATGGTCCCAAAAGTGCTCGCTGACGACCAGAAATTGCGGCGAGTGGAAGTGTGCCAAGAAAATTTGAACATGTATGAAAGTGACCCCCAATTTTTGAATAACGTAATCACAGGTGACGAGTCGTGGATCTTTCAGTATGATCCCGAGATAAAGACGCAAACTTCCGAGTGGCACTCGACGGCGTCTCCTCGCCCAAAAAAGGGAAGAATGAGCAAATCTAAATTGAAAACGACGCTCATTGTCTTTTTTGACACCAAAGGCATCGTCCACCATGAATTTGTTCCTCCTGGACAAACCGTCAACGCCAAGTTTTACGTGGAAGTGCTCAGGAGAATCAAACGAAGGGTCAGTTGGGTCCGACAAGACATCGCAGCCGACTGGAAGTTGCACCACGGCAACGCCCCGGCTCACACCGCCTTTCTTGTGAACAGCTACTTGACCAAGGCCGGCATCCCAACGCTTCCGCAGCCGCCCTACAGCCCAGATGTACCCCCCGGACTTTTTTGTTTCCTCGCCTGAAAACGCCGATGAAATGCAAGCATTTTGAGACGGCATGCACCGCGGCTCTCAAGGCTATTCCAGAGAATGCCTTTCGTGACGCCTTCAATGCTTGGAAATCGCGCTGGCAGCGCTGCAGCGACGCAGAAGGAGCGTATTTTGCAAGTTTTTAAAGAATTGTAACGATTGGCTCAATAAGTTTTTTTAAATCGACTCAGTCCTATTACTTTCCGGACAAACCCTGTAAGTACCAAGTAGCACATTATACTGCGCACGTTTATCATTTAATTTTCCCGTTGTTACCGGGATCAGAAGGTTCTTGATGATAGAACGTATTTGTTGTTACACTTACAACTCCCTACCTCATACTACTCCCAACCCTCAAAAGATTTTAGAAAATAATCAGGAGCCTCCGAAACGTCGAAAAACGAAGTTTGGAAAATTCTAATTTTTACATGTTTTTGCCCTAGCTCCGCTACCACTGCCCTGGTTTTCGAAAGCTACAAAGCGTTTCCATCTTTGGCATAGTAGTAACCTTGTGTGAAAATTTCATTACAATCCGAGCGGTACTTCTCAAGTTATAGGCGGTTACAGAATTAGCGAGCAGACAGACAGACAGACAGACCGACGGAAATGAGATAAATGGTTTTTCGTGATATAAATTGAAAAAATAATATTTCAATTTCGAAATATTTCTCAGCTACAATCCTTCCTCGTCAGCTTTGGCACAGGAAGTAAAAAGTATAGATCAAGTCTCTTAAAGAAGACTCAAATGGAAAACTAAATCTACAGTCTAAAATTCTAAATTATAGTTTATTGACAGTATTTTTTGCATTTCTCTTATGCACTATTATATGGGAAATATGTGTGACGTAGGCCTATCGGAGGTAGAAGCTCATAACTACAACCCGTCAAATATAGCTAGAGACTTGGTCTTCCCGATATTACGCTCCACCTCCGATGCGCACTAGACAGCACCAAAATTTCATCATTAGTATTTCGTGACAACTGGACGCAAGGTGTTGTACAGTCTGCGACAAAAACTATTCTGTTGAGTTTCTTTTTCCTGTACTGGAAGGAAGTTGTTACTGATTTGAGTGTGTCACCGAAAAACGAGTCCCTACCTTGCGACACATAACACACAAACTTAGAGAAAACAATATTTATACAGGGTCACATGAAACTTTGAGAAAAGTGATGAGGGATATGGGATTTCGATGGAGGAAAACGAAGAATAACAGGAAAATCCTAATGGAAAAACCGTATATACAAGCGCTTCGGAGAAGTTTTCTCAGGAATATTAAACATTATAGGGAAGAAAATCGGCCCATAATTTACATGGATGAGACTTATATTCATTCCTCTCATACCCATGCCAAAAACTGGGGAGACAATACCATCGAAGGTTTCCACAAGCCAGTGTCCAAAGGGCCGAGGCTAATTATTGTTCATGCAGGCGGCGAAATGGGTTTCATAAACAACGCATGTTTACAATTCAAATCTGGTACTAAGTCCGGAGATTATCATAGCGAAATGAACTATAGTAATTATAAAAAGTGGATTCAGGAAAAACTTATTCCTAACATACCAGCCCGTAGTGTATTGATTATAGACAATGCGCCGTATCACAATGTCAAACTACAAAAATGTCCCACAATGGGGTGTAGAAAAGATGAAATGAAGGAGTGGCTGAGACAGCGGAACATTCCATTTTCGGAAGACATGATAAAAGCAGAATTATATGGCATAATAAACATGCACAAACCTAGTTATAAAACCTATGAGATAGATCAGATCATGAATGATGCAGGTCACTCTGTCTTAAGACTACCACCCTACCATCCGGACTTAAATCCGATTGAATTAGTGTGGGCTGCTCTAAAACGATATGTGGCAGATAAAAATGTGGACTTTAAATTCCAAAATGTTGAGAAATATTGTGAAGAATTTTTCTCCAAATTTACCCAAGAGGAATGGAAAAAATATTGTGAACATGCTATTTCTTTCGAGCATTATTTCATGGAAAAGGAACCAGCTCTATATTTAATTGTCGATGAAGTTATAATAAATTTGCAGGAAGATACTGACAATGACAGCGTGGATTCTCTGGAAAATAGCAGTTCCGAGACAGAAGATGAACCTCTTGAACGCCAATTGTAATCTCGTTTTTTGTGCTACGTAAAAAATTGAATTATCTCAAGTTTTTTGTGTAGTTAAGTTTTATTTTTTAACAAAGTAATTTGTTTATATTTGGAAGGAACTTTATTGTTATTCAATAAGTATCGAAATGTTTTTGTCATTACACTTTTTAAAAATACATACTTATCTTTGCCTACAACAAATATGTAATTTGACAAATAAGTTCGATTTCAGAGGTTTCTTTACAAATTAACACTCTCGCTGCCACTGGTATTTGTGTCATTTGACTTTCATATGTCACGAACAGTTTCAGATACTAATACTTACGTTTTATCCTGAAAACACTTAAGAAAAACATGTTAGTTTTTATGGCACCATTTTCAATTATAGGCCAAAACTGGTACCAAACTTTGTTGCTTCTAGGCCATTAGAAACAATTATCCATAAGAAATATTAGCAGCGTGTATAGCAAGCCATACACACCGGCTAAAATATTGAGATGCCCGGTATATTGACAGCGATACACGTGGCGGCGCCGGCGAGTGTGTTAAGATCACATTCTGCAAACTTGTTGCACGGAGTGTACCAACGAGGCGACGAGACACAGCGCATCATGTATCTCTTTTTCTCCGAATGCGTTCTCACTTAATTTTCTACGCAGACGGCAACATTTCCAAGTCTCTAGCTATATTTGACGAGATGTACATTCTTTCATGGAGGTCAAAAATGCAATATTTGTAGCTTTCACCTCCTACAACGTTCAAACTTCAATTTTCATCCACCCTCAAAATCCACCGAAATGTTCAAAAACAAAACTCAAGCGATTTCTAATTTTTCGTTTTTACTTCCGAGCAAGAAAATATTGTCATTGCGAAGATTTTTAAAATTAGATATTTTATTAAATTATTTGTACTAATATATTATTTTTTGGATGTTATTTGACATGTACATCAGATCGTGTCGGTCATCACCTTCAATCTGTCTGTCGATCTCTCAGTTTTCCTGCTAATCGTTGACCTGTGTACAGCTTGAAAAGTACCGCTTGGATTTCAGTGAAATTTTCGGACAATACTGCTGCTATACCAAGGACTGAACACCTTTTTAAATCGGTACAGTGGCGCATAGAGCAAGGTTGAAAACAAAAATAAAAATCGCTCAAACTCCGTTTATGTTTAGGAGTAAGAAATTGAGGTGAGTGGGTTGTGCCTATTAGGCAAATCTCGCACGTATATTACCCCATATATTTGCCCTTAAAGCAGTGTGGTAGAGATATTTTGTATAAAAGCGGCACTAGCCGCTGCTTGCTCTGACAACTCACGCGACGAATTTACCAGAACAGCTGAAAAAAGATCAACGATACCTCGCCAATGCTAATCTTCTGCGAATATGAAGATGTTCTGCGGAATAAAGAATATCACTTTAGTACCTTTTCCTAAAGTAAATAATACCACGGCGTACGAAAGTTGTCCTTGATTATTGGAAAAAAATAATCTCATAATACTTGTTCTATAATCATATTTATCATACGACATGACGTCTAGCTGTGATGAGAAAGAGGCTATACATCATGTATATTTAGATCTCATAACTTCAATTTTTCTTAATTGCTTTTTACAAGCGTTTATTTTTACCAATTTTCAGTCTACTTTACGGCCTTGATTTTCATAGCCGGCAAACAATAAAGGTACCAAAGCATGCAGATACTATAGATGACGCATACCTATAGAAAGTTTATTTGTCCAAAATTGCGAGCGAAGTACAGAGCCAATCTACTCGACGCCATTTTTTGTTGTTGTTGCTAAATGCGTCAATAGTGGTCTGGTCTCACAATATGTAATGCTTTTCCGTGTGTTAAGCTCCATCACGATTTTTTTCGAGGTAACAATATGCCCCAGGCCTACTGTATATATCGAATATAAATAAATGATCCATATACAACGAGTTGATTAGTCAAGTATACTAAGTGACATATAAATCCGAACACCCAGTTTAAATGGTTTTATTTTAATAAAAGTTGGTGAATGTATTTATCTTACTGTAAATAACAAGTGAAAAAATTTTCAGCCTTATCAGTTGGACATTCCGGTTTTTATACTGCTTTTTTTAATTCACTAAAGCTCTAAAAATGAATATTTCAGCCGCAGTAAAGAATCAACGTTGGCGGATTTTGGTTCTTGACATCCTTTACGATGCCTAGAGTACGGAGACCTGTACGATTTCGCCAACTTAGTGAGTTTGATAGGGGCCGTATAGTGGGACTTCGGGAAGCTGGACTTTCTTTTCGGGCAATTGCAGTTAGAGTGCAAAGAAGTGTAGACACTGTGGTTAAGTGTTGTCAGGCATGGCTTCGAGAAGGCCGTACGCAAAGAGCAAGGGGCACAGGACGCCGCCGTAGAACAACAGACCGTGAAGATCGCCGCCTAAGATTATTGGCCTTAAGGGACCGTTTCTCCACTACCAGGTCCATTGCAAATGAATGGTTTGCAGAACACGGAAGACCTATTGGCATGCGAAGTGTTTACCGACGAATGAGAAGTTTTGGCTTGTTTTCATACCGGCCACACTGGGTCCTCCCTTTAACTCGAGAACACCGACGTAATCGCCTTGAGTGGTGCAGACAACGGTCACTCTGGGATCAGGAATGGAACGAGTGACGAGTCTCGATTTTTGACATGTTCATCACACTGTTGGAGTTATGGTTTGGGGTGCTATAGCTTATGGTTCCAGGTCACCTTTAATCTTCATCAGAGGTAACATGAATGCGCAGCGTTATATCCACGAAGTTCTAGAACCCCATCTTTTACCCTATCTTGACACCCTGGCAGATCCAACTTTCCAACAAGATAATGCCCGACCACATGTTGCAAGAGTCACAATAGACTTCTTTCAACATAATGATGTCACATTGTTACCATGGCCACCAAGATCTCCCGACTTATCCCCAATTGAGCACGTGTGGGATATGATGGGTAGAAGATTGCCCAATTTCCAACGTCCTCCTCAGACTCTAGAAGCACTTCGAGAGGAGTTGGTGGTTGCCTGGAATGAGATACCACAGAAGGACATTGACCACCTGATCAGAAGCATGCCTAGGCGCGTTGGAGAATGCGTAGCATATCAGGGTGCATCCACACATTATTAAAGGTCAAAGGGCTTTAAAGCAGTGCAATCATTTTGAAATTTTTATCATTTACTTATTATGCTTCATTAAGTACTTATACAAAATTTTATTAAAATAAAACCATTTAAACTGGGTGTTCGGATTTATATGTCACTTAGTATATTTCTGAACCGGCTACTATTATGCAGTTCATGTTTTGGTCGTTATTACAATATTTGGTGGATGCGACATCTTAGATAATTATATCCATCCACCATTTTTCAAGTATAAAAGTTCTGATTCTGGTGGAAGTATTCTTGCTGCAATGTTCAAAATTGAACCAGTTTCTAAATGCGTGGAATGATAGACATTCTTTTTTTAAATTTTAGTGTAGTGATCAATCAGCTAATGTAAAAATAATTAATATTTTGCAGTGGTGGCTAAGCACTTGCCAATTCCAGGGTGTGTGGGATTATTTTGGAGAAGAAAGTTCACAGCTACTTGTTTAGATTAGGATGTGACATAAGACGTTACCCCAGAATCGTGTATTATCACACTATTTATGCTGCATGAGAATTAAAATTTTTCTTTTGGCGAGTTAAATAAACAGTTTATTAATTAATCATTGTTTCTCACCTATCATAGAAACTGAATACGATCATCCATCACATGGAAAAGTTCTGACCGAAATCATCCGAGAAGTAGAAGCTGTAACACCTGTCACGCGACACGTGGGCTTTGGACCGGAAAGATCGCGGGATAACGGCAGAACTCCGGTGAAGTCGCCAGTCGACTGATTTTCGTTGCCTACTACACGAGGAAGTTTGCACAAATAGAGATGGGTGCTCGTGAGTTTTCGATTATGCTGTAACGGGTTGCACTTATATTAGCTTTGGATTCACAACTGATACCCAACTAACAATTATCACTCCTATTAGAGTTGCAAGAATGATTATACAGTATTCCTTAAACAGCATTGTATACTGTAATAACATTAGCAAAACCCTCTTAGAAAAGCTATACAAGCGGAATGGGTACACCTAATAGGACACTTCAGTCATTTAAGAGGTTGTATAAGAGCTGCAGGTAACAGTTATAAAACAAAAGTGTAAGCCTATAGGAGATTTGCGTCAGTGCAAGATTCAGTTTTTGTCAACTATACAACTATTCTCTTACGTGATTCTACTTTATTGCAACCAAACTATTTTCTATGTATTGTATAGACGAAGTGAACAATATATAACTAACACATTACAGTCATCTTGTTTACTTACATATCGGCCATTGTGAATTTCATACACAGGTATATGATAAACTTCTACACTCTGATATAGGGCTATTGAATTACTTGCGCAGCAAATTTCATTGTGATTATCGTGCAAAATAGTTACCCAATTTCTACGGGCTTCGCATTTCATTCATATTTTGACAATGATCAAAAGTATGTCTAGATTTTTAAGATGGAAAACTGAACTTATCTGCGTTAAATCTTCCACAAATCCTATATTTGGACACAATTGCACTAATGTTTATCACTTTATATCTGTAATTTCGAACTGAAACATAATTATTTAATATTAAATAGAGGAATAAATGTTTGCCCAATATGGCGGCTGGTTGTGTACAATCATGGCATAGTCCATGTTGTGTTTAGGTTATTAGAATATTTTGGTGTTGCCTGCAGGTCTTATACAACAATTTGACAAATGTCTGAAATGAAATACCGACAGAGTCGAATGATTTACCCAGAATTTGTACCAGATCTATATCTTCTGTTTGAACAGTTAATAAAACCTTTTGAACCGATATGCATGCGTTGTTTGTTTTAAAACGTTGGTTATGGCATTTTAACAAAAATATGACAGCAGAAAGTTAGGTTATGGTGAAGTTGTTTACCAACATATTTAGCATATGTAACAGTTGTATAAGTCCTTCCGTTGGGAGCAATTTGTTGGCTAATGTAGTAAATTGCACGGCTAAGCAGCAAGGCTCGGGTTTGTTTTATAAACGTTAGCATCGGTGCCACAACACAACCATTTGGACTAACCTGAAAGTATGCCGTATAAAATAGTTGTATAAACGTTTATGCAACAGTTAAAAATTTGTCCTATAAGATGTTATGTAACTATGCTATAAGAATATTTTAAACACCTCATTTTAGAGCAAATATGTTGCAGAAAACAAATTTGCATTCCACACAACATTAAGCCAGCATTTTGGTGTTCAGGCAACAACAATAGAGAGCTTTTATGGCTGAACGGTTCTTTTACCAAAAGCTTATACCACTACTTTGCTAGTTGGGTAGAAAACAGATTTTATTGCAAAACGCTTATTCAGAACCATACAACATATATGTATAGACAGGCTGAAAAGTTTGATCTTCCTGCTGGACCTACTTCACAAAGTGAGAGATTCTCGGAGCATACATGATATTGGTTGAAATTTTTTTTAGTCATCTGCCGACTATTCCATGACGGCAGAGGTTAACAATATCTATTAAAATAGCTAAGATGAATTAGAGTAACACGAGCAAAAATATCACACATTCGATCAACATTCAAGAACTTTCATGTCCTTCTTTCGACTTGCTTGATGCTTGATGAGTTTGACAACTATGTTGGTTTGATTAATCAAAATGTTTAAACTCGAATTTTTCTTTGCTTTGGTAAAATCATTAAATTCACTGAGGTGAAGCGACGCGAAGGGAAACGACAGAGATCTGTCACGTTTGACGCATGCTTTCTTTCTGTCCGGTTCGCGGACTGTGATTTATTTATGTGTAAATGGACTTAGCCAAAGATTTTAGCTTTTCTTATTCCCTCAATCGACATAAATATTTTTAGAAGATACAACAGATTGGGATTGATACTCACCAAATCATAGGTGTTTGGTCTGCCATGGTAGCATACAAATTATATAAATAAACTGAAATTCCATATTACTGCAGAGACAGTTGACAGGTGGACGGAAAAATTTTGATTTGCATGTCACTGAGAAACGGTATATCTTAAGACGCTTGTGTCATACATGACAGCTCGTCTTTTTCAAATGAAATTTAATTTAAGGTAAGGTTTTTGGATAATTGCTTGTACATATGTTTAGTAGTGGATCCAATAGACGAGATTATAGAACTGGTGTTAAAAACAGGCTGCAAGTACAATGTCTAATCAACCTTACATAAGTCAAAAAATACGCTAAAAATACAATCAAGTCGGTGCTTATCTCTTAAATATCATATTGGCTATCTTTTTAACATCACTTCTATAATGTACGACCCAAAAATAAAGGTCTTCAGCAGCGAATAAAGAAATTTCAGCTATTCCTGCTGCGACAATTCATCAGAAAGTTTTCTAGTATGGAGAAAGAGAACAACAAAAAAGCTCAACATTTCTAAAAAGATAAGGAAATGATGTTAGCATTATTGGTCAGTAAAACCAAAAGTATAATAGAGAGGAAAAAAGTGGCTCAATCTCCTGGAAAAAGAAAGTTCTGTTTCTACAGTCGTTTTTGGAAGAAATTTGGCATGGAAATCCAGGTCGTCAAATTCGTCAAAGCAATTCAGCAGATGCCGAACTATTTTTTGCCATGTCGCCTCTTCGTCTCTGCTTAACGGATCCACGTCGTAATCCATAAACATGTTTCTGCTTTAATTTACACTAATCGATAAATTGATATGAACTTGCGAATTTTTGAAAAAATGGCGAAGTCTGCGTCAACAAACGTCAGGTATTGCTATTTAGCTACAACTAGTTAACTCATAGATGGTCTTCTGATTAAAGTTAACTACCATTTTACTGTGAACATGACATTGACAAATGCGTTTTCATAGATAACTACACCAAGGCCGTAGTTAACCTGCGACTAAAAAACCGGGCCTGATGATCATATCCAATTCGTATCCAGCTGTTTCCACTTTACCAAACTTATATAGGTATCCTAATACATCATTACCCCCATCTCTATTTGGCAACTTCTTTTGCAGATCGAACTTTACCTGTTGCCAGTTCCAACGTTTTCGAATTCACCCTTATGGTCGAGTGCCTTAGGGTTGAATCGCCTGTTGTAGCGTTCTGTGGTGGCGAATCTAGCAGGTATTCCAACACAAGAAGTGTTGCGACATCTAACGGAGAGAATTCCAGGCTTCGCAAAAAATCGATTAAAGGTTTCGGTGTTGATACATACCACGATACTCAAAGCTGGCTAAAGCAACTGAACTTCCACATATCCTTTGTAGATGGAACAAGATCATACAAGGCCCTATGACCATAGTTTGACGTTTCAATAAAAACGTAGACTTCGCGGTGTTGAACTTCAGATTGATTAGAATGATATTTTTCACATAATAGTTCCTCGGCTCTTAATAACAAAAGCTTACATAAATAACTTGCCTGATGATTATTACATGCCGAGAATGTATATATGACGTAAAAAAAAATTGCACCAGCTATACTACAACTGTTTAAAACTGTAATGACTCATACGCGTGATCAACACGTGATCAGAGCTCGATCCCGGCTTCCTTCCAGTACAGCCGTATAGCGTACGACATATGTCGTTTCTGAGGCTTTGCGGTGGTCAACAGCACAGACAGAGATGGAAATAATGGCTGATTGTTCTCCGCCGGTAGAACCAATGAAATCAAAGACGCGCCTCGACCGGCAGACTCATAGGCGTCGGCATCGCATTGGAACGTGTTTCATTCAGCGATCGCATATTGTGTGTTTTTATAAGAATTGTTGTGTGATTGTTATTGTTGTGGTTTCTGTGGTTACTGTGTTGGTTATACTTAACCATGGAGAGTACAAATTGCACGAGTGGAAGTACTGAAAGCCAGGGAACAAGTAGACAGCTTCGTAAAGCACTGAAGAGGGACGCGAAAGAAATCGTGCTCAACGTGTTCAATTATCTGAACAGAACTATGTCGCAGGGAGATGCACTCGCGCGTTGTGAAAGTATGACAGGCGTTCCAGAGTGGACCATTCGCAGGGTGGTGCATGAAAAGAAGAAAACTGGAGCTACTACTGATCCAAAGTTTAATTTGAAGGACGAAAGGCCGTTAAATTGGATGACGATAACAAAATGGCATTAAGGCGAACCGTACATTAATTCTTCTTTAGGAATGAGATACCAACCCTCAAGGCTGTACACGCAGCGATCAAGGAAAATGGAATTATACCCCAAATGAGCGTCGATGTAATGAGGAAATCCCTGCACGAAATTAATTTTCATTACGAAACGCGTAATCGGAAGTCAGTATTGATAGAGAGACCTGAAATAGTCGCCTGGCGTCGAAAATACCTACGCGAAATGATTGAATATAGGCGACAAAGCAGAAAAATCTATTATTTGGACGAGACATGGGTAAATGCAGGTCACACAGTTAAAAAAACCTGGATAAACAAAAACGTAGTGAGTAACCGACAAGCAAGCATTGAATGTTTGTCAACAGGTCTTCGTGGACCGTCAGGGAAAGGTCAAAGATTGATCGTAACTCATATTGGTAGCGATAGTGGCTTTTTAGAAGAGTGTGACTTGATTTTCGTCTCTAAGAAAGGAGGTGATTACCATGACGAAATGAATGCCAGCTGCTTCGAGAGCTGGTTTCAAGGGGTGCTTCAGTGAGTTGAACCTAACTCTGTGATCATAATGGTAATGCTTCCTACCATAGTCGTCGAGCCGAACGTGTACCGACTATGGGATCTCGAAAAAGTGACATGCAGCAATGGTTGCGCGAAAAAGGAATCCCGTTTGATGATTCATGTGTGAAAGCGGAATTGTATGAAAAAATTAAACAGCACAAACCTGCGAACATTAGTTACGTGACTGATGAGATGGCCCGTCAATGTGGTGTCACTGTGCTGCGGTTACCGCCCTACCACTGTGAACTGAACCCAATAGAGCTCATATGGGCTCAAGTGAAGGGTTATATTGCGCGCCATAACAACCTTCAAATCACCAGACGTTAAGGTTTTACTTGAGACTTCCATACAGCTAGTAACGCCCGAACCTTGGCAGAATGCTATCCGTCATGTTGTGAAGGAAGAAAGAAAAATGTCGCAGCTTGACCACCACATCGACACCATCATAGAGCCAGTTATAGTCAATTTCAACGACGAAAGCGATAGCGACAGTTTATTACTGTCAGATGTAAGTGGAAGCGACGACGAATAAAGGTAATTCCCAAATTTTTGACTTACAATATGTTTCAAACCACTCTTTATTAAGCATGTGACAAATCTAGTTCACCCATGTAAAACATTCATACCCCGCCTATGAACAGCCGACTACTGGTAGTTAAGTGATGTTCACGTGAACATCGATGAGTCATTACAGTTTTAGATAGTTATAGTATAGTATCTGTAATACATGCAAGGCTGTACTAAAGAGTAGTTATGCCAAAAGGGGAGCGTGGATTGCCTTTGAAATGACGCTAAGCGGCTCTAGTGTGGTTGTTGGTTCAACATTCACAATTAGACAGAAAAAACGCATATTTGGTAGAGAAGTGAACTGTTTATACCCTTAGACATGACCGACAACCTCTAATTTATGATACCGTATAACAAAGACAGAACGATATATGAACGAACGGCCAAACAGAGCGCAGAAGTACAACTCAGATGCTGTGCAGAAGTATCCATGCAGTGCTAAATGAAGTAACAAAGATGTATTATTGTCCCCACTACTATGTACTTCACTCACTATTAGAAAATATTTTAACGCGCTCGTATAACTGGAACTATTAGTACAAGCAAGAGTACACCCTCGTACATCAACTAGAAGATTACTAGAAGATTCGACAGGTGGCCAGAAGTGGGATCGACGCTTAAGCAACCAGAACTTCGAGTCTGGTCGCGTTCTGGAGCATTCGCGATGCCATCGCGGATATTCGATTCATCTGGAGATGGATCTGATGCCATGAAGATAATATCCATGCGAGTTCGTGGCTCGGCCGGACAAATTCTGGAGCATATTTTGACTCGTCGATTGGGGAATAAAGGTCCGACCAGATGGCTTAAAAGGGCAGACACAAAAAAGTGAGTGAAGAGTGAATGCGGGATTAAGATGTAATAATGGTCCAGTCGATATAGCTATGAATTAGTTTTTTAGTAATAAATTGGACTTTGTACAGTAAAAACGCTGTTTTCGTTGCAATATCTAACCCAGCAGGTATTTTAACAATCTAATCTGCTAAAATATAAATGGACAATCTAGTATTTTGAGAATCCTACATATTATGGAATATAGTAGTGAAGTGAAAGAATCATTTGCATGTCAGATACCGTTTGTGATTGCTCTGGTCGATACAGCTACAGAAAACGTATTCGTTAAAAGACAAAAATATATTTCATAGACTGCAAGTAGATCATAGTTATATCTGCCATGAATAGGAGTAAATCTAGGTAAAAATAAATTTGGTGAAAAGTGCTTAACATTCCTCTACACGGATAATACATTTATCCAAAAGTAATTATCAATCTGGCAACACTGCACGCATCTCTCTCTAAATAACAACAGATGGTTAGACGCCATTTCATTAGCTTGGCCAGGTTGGTTTGTCTCTAATTCTATTCGCCTTGCCTGTCTTCTCTTTGTACTTTTCCGGAAACACTGAAAATGAAGATTGCAGGGTATACCAAGACGACAATACTTGAAATCCAGGAGGTAGGGTAGTACTTACTACCCTTCCAAATAGCTTGTGATGTTGTTTTCCACATTTATGAAACGAGCTTGTGAAAGTATCAATTTTTTTTCAAAATAATGTGTTCCTAGAATTACCACGTCATTAGGTGCTTTATCACAAGGTGAGCTTTGTCTTTAGATATGGGAGCACTACGCACTTTTCCTTCTCAAAATGACCCGGGGAACGACCTTCTATCAGTGTTAACGAATACAGTTCCTCGGAAAGTTTTGGAGCCATGCTCACTTTCTATTAATTGTTGAACATCGTTCATTTCAAGAAGTGTTACAACAGCGTATAGCTCTGTTTCATTGTTATTAAAATTGCTTACAAGGAACAAAACGACATCTAATAAAGTTATCCTGAAGTTCAGCCGCTTGTGCTATAATGGATCAATACTACATCTGGCCCCTTCGGGAACCAACAAGCATGTCAAACTTCAGTGCTGCAGTTAAATCCTAGATGGCAGTGTAAAACAACAGAAACACGGCAAGTAGAAGGTAATACATATTTTAACACTAGGTAAGCAGGATTTTTTTTGCTAATTTGTTCTGAATATGATACATTTGTTACATTCATTTTTATTCACCGCATATCTTTACAGTAGAATAATGGAGACACATCGCAACTTAAAGTGTAATAAATTTGTAATCTGGGGCTTTTACTCCCACAGTGAAACACCTTAATTCCTAATGTCTGATTAATCTTATTCTGTTCAGTCCTTATAGCTAGTACTGCAATGTAGCATTTCCGGTGAGTTATATTACTTGCAATACCTAACATTTGCGGTTTCTAATAACAATATTTATACAGCGTGTTCGTTCATTACCTCATATGTGACATCTGAAACTTATTCTGTGGTTGTCATGCTGATAACACCCCTTGTTTGTCAGGTCGAGTCAATCCACATACATATTTGAAATTCGTCGCAAATTATATTCCAATCTTTTCGTGTTTCTTCAATGAAAAATGAATGAAAAACCATAGCTTTCAAAAAAGCTGCATATATACCAAAAGTGACCCCTCAATAACATGGACACATACTGCAGAAGTATATTCGGCATGTTATTAGTCTAATTGTTTGTGTTGCAGTTGCATACCAGAACTCTACATAATGGTAAGGGTGCTTGGACTAACTAGAAAATCCAATTCATCAAATCGCGACAGTAATGAAAAGAGATTAACCTTCGATGAGAGGAAACATGTGCAGTATGATGAGTCAACAATCCACACGTATTGCGTGGTTCTCAGATATGCGTTTACGACGTTGTATCACAAGAAGGAGGAAAAGGCGGAACTGATCTCCTGTCAGGGAAATAATAGTCATATAAATGATTGCGTCGTTCTACTTTGATGAGGGAAAAATAGATTGTCAGCTTAGCTCATTGCGGGAAAATCGCTATGTGACTAGAAGAAACTTAGTAAGTTTGCGTTTTGTTATCATTTTACGTTTCAAGCATGTTTATATAAAATTTCACCCACGTTCAATAGACAAGGTTATACATGGTTTTACAATTCTTCTAAAAAGTAGTGAATTTTTTGTATAACGCATGCTCCAAAGGCTTGGAGTATTACAGATGTGTGTAAAAATCTGGTCCTACCTCTCGATTATGTACAACGCGCATCCGCACTTAGCCCATCGTGTAGGTAAACCGAGCTGCTTGTTTACAAAGTGGATTCGAAAATCCAGAAATTACCCACTCCTATTGCAGTAACCAAATTGTGGGTTCAGAGTATGTTCAGATCGTTTTGCGGGACGCTTTTTTGTTCAGCAAATTTTGTTCATTTCGTACAAAAAGCTGACACAGATCATTCGTCGGAACATCAAGGTGAGCACAGTGAAATGCATAGACAGCGCCGATTATTGCAAACGTCGACTATGAGCTTGTCTTTCCTTAGTCGGCTAGTGACAACTTCTAATAGTATTTATAAGCATAATGGGTGGGCCAGTACTTCAAATGTCTCCAGGTTTATCTAGTCGAATCATAACCATATATGTTTAAAACTCTTCTTTATTGACACCGTTTTGGTCACAACGGTGACATCAAGTACTTGATGAAATGTCGTACAATAAAGAGGAATTTTAAACATATGTGGTTTGATTCAGCCAGAGAAACTTAGGGGACGATGAACATGAAAACCTTAAAATAACTTGCAGATGTTACATTAAAATTTCTCATGGTATGAGTACCTACGTACCTCAACATTCCTGTTACTTCTTCGCAGCTCTTTCACTGCATATTAGCTTTCCGTTCCAAACATAGAGAAGAAAAGTCTCAACTTTCAGAAGAGTCTGTATGTATTTAAGGCCGCTAAACGCTAAGATCAACCAATTCAGACTTGGTAGAAGGAGCTGGCAGACGACGTGTTTTGATACAAAATCACCTAGCCAGTAGTAAAGATGTAACTACAAGTCGATGAGGATTAAACCGCCAATTTGGCAGCTATTGTCATTTCGCTTTAAGTTCTCACTTTTCTGCACAAAACGTATAAAAGTGCATGATTCGATATACTCCCAGGTGTTCCAGATAATTGCCGAAAATGGTGAGGTTTTGTTGGTTGTGAAAAAAGCAGTTTGAGCTGAATAAAAGCAGAACTTCTAATCAATAAGTGTTAATAATATATTATAGGTCATCGGCGTTACCAAAGGGCATATACCTCAACATTAGGCTTTTACCTGGATAGATGTGAGATAATTTTGATTCGTTCAATTTCGCTTCTTGTTTCTTCGAGCGCTGGATCCCAACCTAAGGTTTGTTAAAAAATTTAGAGCCTAACACAATACAATATATTGGAGACAAACCAAACACTTTTATGGATTCTGAGAAGAGTAAACTGAAACGGCCTTTTGGGAGTTCGTAAAGAGGCCTTTATTTTCATTATAAACAGCGTTACGTATTATGGTTTTGATTCCAAAAGATTCTGTTCAGGAAGATCAGCACGCCCAAAAAATCTAACAATATCAAATCAATGAAATCACTGTCAAATCTTTTCATTGGATCAGTATAGTGACAATGATATATGTTACTGGCATATGAACCTTAACTAGATATTTACTTTTAGAAGAAAATCTGTTCGCATTTCTTAGAAAAACCGAGTAGAGTTCAAGGTGCCCCAGTATCCCCAATATCAAGAGTTCCGTCATTGTCGCTGTTTGATGAAAACATTTTTTTCATATTTCTCGTCTTCCAAAATCAGAAATCATTCCAAAATTATACATATGCTGTACCGTTAATAAAAATTTGCTTCCGTTTCTTTGCCTTATATAATTTACTCCTGGACAATAACAATAACTGAGCGATTCACATCGTAGCATAGTAATTCTGCGTTGCTGGCTGCTTGAATATCCTTCCCAGAGAAAAAAATCTACGCCGATGTATTTTTTTGACACTTTGGATGTATTGGAAATCAAATCTACCTAAAAGTACTAAGACTACGTAATTTTTGAGACCAACCCTGCCATGTAAACATTTAGGCTTGATTCCTTCTAGACGATTAACAGCTGCTGGTAACTACGTCATGACAAACGCGACCAATATTACTGCTCTATACATATTATACCATTCATTACAATATGCGTGCACGCTTATACTTGAGGAATCATTACCTAGACATCTATTTTCATTAGACACACTAGACGCATGAATGGACGGCATCAAACGTGGAAAAGAACAGCAATCGTGCGTTATTGTGACCTGCGCACGCTTGAGAGCTAGCAACAACGTCACGTTAATATGTTTCAATTGTTCTGTTGGCAGGCACGTTTACAAAAGATGCTGTCAAAGAGAAAATACTACCTTGAAATGCCTTTTGTGCTTATTACTGATCAAATTGATTTCTTCGCACACCATATGGCGAACAAGACGCCATAGAAACGAGGTTCTGCAGTAGTACCGTATGTTGATATTGTTTAAATAATTTTCATTCAAAGTGATTCCAATAACTCCTGCATATGAACATCCGCCGTATTTGTATCCTGAGATTGCAGTGAATATTGCAGTTCATTCGATACGTTTGTAGAAGAAGAAGATAAAGATTTTCGAAAGATTGATATGAACACAAAACAAACTTTCTTTCTTGCCTTCTGAGTTTTGATTGCTTTACGGCCTCAAGATTTCTATTTTGGATCTTAACTAGTCAGCTAAGACTACCCTCCTCTATGCTAGGATGTACACGGTGATTCAGAACGTGACAATATTTCTAGGGCATAACGTAGGTCAAACAATAACGGGAAAAGTTAATATAAACATGAGTTTTAAAATGTCCCTTACTGAAAATCGAAAAAAACTATATCTTTGGAGTGGATTAAGATATTGATTTGAATTTTGTACACGCAGTACTGATTTAACAGCTGATTCATACAAAAAGTGTTGTGCCTAAGACTACATCGGCGTTGAAGTAGAGAAAATCTGGCCTTGCAGGAAAATAAAAGAATTACTTTCTTCGCCACTGACTTTTTTAAATATCTATTGCATTTTTGTATGAGGTATATATTTTTTTTTGACAACTCTTTTGGACAAAAACTGGTCTTGATATTTGATGTAGAGAACATATAAAAACTCCGACTCGTTTTACTTTGAAAATGAGCTGAGGTTAGTGAAGTTTGACATCGTATGTGGTGCATATTTGGAGAGCAATCCAAATTCGACATAGCGTTATTTGGACAATGTTATTTTTTTATCCCTATTCGGACTTATCAGTGGTGTAGAAGTTTACAACACTCTGTATCTTAGTGATGAGACGTTTTAGAAACTATGTTATTTTTGGATACACTTTCTTCCCTAGAAATATTGTCTCGTTTTTCTGAAACTAATATTGTCACCGATTTATAGACACTTGGTTGATATCCAAAGACCTCGTAAAGTTCTTGATGTCAATCTCTATTTGGTACATGTTTATCTCGCTAAGCTCCTGACTCTTTCTTTTATCTAAGATCCGTTGATCTCGTGATGTCTCGGACTTAAAAGCTTGGTTAGTGTTTATTTGATACCCGTTAAGCAGCGAGGTCCTTGACCTCACCTTGAACTCTTGTTTCAGATAAAGTTGATCTCATAAATACCTTTGTATCCAATTGATGTCCGATGTATTTCCCTGACTAGGGTCCTACTTTGGATCCATTGACACTGCAAGGTCCCTCTAGAACCTTAACTATGATCCGTTCCCTTTATCAGTTCCCAAACATTGACCTTATTTGATATCGTGAGCCCCTAATACCAGATTTTACTTGAAATCAGCTGATTTTTTTGGTGTCTTTTTCCTAGAAACTTGGTGTAATCCGTTGATTTCGTGGTGTCTTAGATCAGAAATTTCGTTGGATCTGTTAATTGATATCCTGAAATTATATCACCACTGTTACTTGAAATCCACTGATCTCGCGAGGTTTCTGGCTTAGTACGTTGAGTAATATCAGTATATATGGTGTTTTAATGCTGCTTCTAATAATAATAATTTATTGGTGCTATTACACAGAAATGTGTTTGCACAAGTCAGTGAAGGTATAATATGAAAGAGTAATTAAAAACAACAAATAATACTAAATAAGACAAACATGGAACAAGGTGTAGCAATAAAAAAGAAAAAGTTGATAAAACCAGAGTTAACAATTAGATTATAAGTAGATGGTTAAAAAATATCAAAGAGACCGCATACAATAAATATTAAGGAAGTCTTCGACATCAAAAAGGTTTCAGATAGTAGGAAGCATTTGATAAATTTGCCAAATTGTTTAATATTGAGAGATTTTATTTCATCTGGCAATAGGCTGTAGAATTTTAACGCATGGTAGTTAATGCCATTTTCAGTTTTAGAAGGCGATGGAGATTTGGACTCAAATGTTTTTTTGTTTCTGGTGTTGTGATTATGGGTATGTTGATGAGTTGTATAATTGTGAGAGTGAGTTTAAATGCCATCACTCACGTCAAAATTCCGTAGAGAAATACTCATTGTCTGAGTTTTGTTTTTATTTAAGGTCAGCTCGTTATTTACATAGCAGTCTTGAATCCCCCCTGCATACTGTGAGTTGAAAAAAGAGTAGTGCCATCGGAATGCAGGAATAATTTGCTACTAGTACTGTCACTGAGGCAATTTTGTATGTCATTGATGTGTAACAAGAATAACAAAGGTCCAAGTACAGATCCTTGAGGAACCCTATTCAAAATTGTGGTAGCAGTAGATCTGCAATTTTTGTATTCCACAAATTGCTGTCTTACAGACAGGTAAGACTTGAGATGCTGCTCACTCGATGGTAGCATGGAATAAAAAGGAAGCTTGGAAATAGTATCTCATGCTGCACACAATTAAAGGCTCCAGTTAGATCGAATCC